TAAGTCTCTCATGTTACCGTAGATTTTGGACCGAAATCCCCCACCACGCAATACTTTATGTAGGCGGACTCTGTATCTTCACATGACAGTCTCAAATGATGCGGCATAATTAACAAGGGTGAAACGAGAAAAGAATCGGAACCGTGAATAGCCCTCAAGGCCTTTTGAAACGTATCCAGAAATTAAAGATTATTTGTCCTGAACTCTGTTTATTCATCAATTCGAGAAGTTATTAGTTTATTTCAAGCCATAAAAAACTTTCTATGGCAGTCCCTCGTTTTTTTCACTTTGAAGTACATATTCTAGTTTGGCTTAGCCAGTGATTCTTGCTATTTTTTTTAATTCTTGAGTTTATAAATTTCTTGTTTGTTTAGTTGAACATCCCATTTTTTTTCATTGAATCGATGGATGAAAACAGTTACTGATAAAATTCAAAATGGCGTTTTTTTTCATTTGTATTCAAGATGGCGGCAGCAATTTAATCACCACCTACGGGATTTTTTTTGTTATCCTGTTAATAGAGGTGTATTAATGCTAAATTTAATTGATTAATTTTTTTTATGAACAGTTATTCGGGCGTTACAGATCTATGTACATTTACTAATAATTTTTTTCACTTTTGTCGTTTCGGAACTTTTGACTTTAATTTCGTTCAAATAATGTTTTTTTCGCTACAGATCTGAACTTGTCTAATCACCTCAATGACTTGTGACCAGCTTTTTTTTTGTGCTGTCATGCGCACTTCAATTCTACTTACGTATTTCCCAATGACTTTTTTTTGAAATCAACTTTGATAGTTTGTTATTTTTTATAATTTCTATAGTTTCTTTTTTTTTCATGATTTGAGTTTTCTTTATAATGTTATTTTTGTACACTTATAAATTTTTTTTGTTATTTAATATCTTGATATTATGACTTGTGAAAAATACGCCCAGTTTTTTTTTTGTAATCCTAGTTATTCTGACGTATCACCCAGTACAAAAGAGCTATAGTTTTTTTGGAGTTTTCAGTGTTACCTACTTGTTGTATGTACCTTTTGAAACACAATTTTTTTGTTGTGTTGGCCTAGCCTGAGTCGTATTGGAGAATCTCAAAACAGCTATTTTTTTATTCTACAGAGAAGCCAATCAGAAGATGTATCCTACACCACAATGGTTTTTTTTTATAACAATCTAGACGGCTTTTGCTTCATATTGTTTTAATGATTTGTAGTTTTTTTCTCTACAAATAGTATCGTGGATATGGTCTACGTTGATATGACCCCAGCTTTTTTTCGAACTATCAACAATTCGTATCTGTGCTGTTTGTCCTCTGTAGCTTGTTTTTTTTAATGCTTTTTCTGTCATTGTCTCAGCATTGTTCCCCGTTTCCTTAGCATTTTTTTATCCACCAATCATCAGCTCAATGCGTTCATTGTTGATGTCACTACCTCTTTTTTTTAGAAACTTGATCTTGGATCCCCTGATGGTAAAGGCTGGTGACGTCATTTTTTTTGTTGGTCCGTCCCCTTGGGTTTGACCAGCTGGATGAGAGGAACTGGGGTTTTTTTCATATCCTCCAATCCACCAACTTCCTCTGTGATTGGATGGCTGCCCTCTTTTTTTCGCTGTAGGATTATCACCGTAGGTTGGTTGATTGTTGAATGCTGTTCCTTTTTTTGTCCATCCATCAAGTGATCCAGATTCAAAGTCAAACATCGTGCAATCTTTTTTTTGTAGTTACATAGTAGTTAGCCGTCCATAGACGACTCCAAACATTTTATTTTTTTTAATTCTASTGCATTTTATCTCACAAGCTTCTTTGAGTTCAGTTGACCACAGGTAACCCACTTTATCAACGTGATTTCTGTCCGTGTGAGACTAGGGAGAGTCCTTTTTTTCATGATGGGGGAGATTTCTAAACAAGATCTGACGTTCTCAACGTGGTATTTTTTTCCATTATTACAATCTTAAGGAACTCTACTCAGTCTCCCACGATATGAATTTTTTTAAAAGCAAACATTGACTATGAAATATAACTTGCTTGACTTACTGGTTTTTTTTTTTATGCCTGTAAATCCCTTCGTGCAACTACACACATATTGTCCAGCGGTTTTTTTTTGACAAGACCCACCATTCGCACATGGATTTGCTGTACATAAAAACGGTTTTTTTTGAAAAGAGYGGCAAAMTAAATTAAACWCAGTTCACGAATTTCGAATACTTTTTTTTTGATTGAAATTTCTTTTTTTTACTATAATCATTTCCGGTCTAGTCATTTTTTTTTGACGACGTTTATTATTAAAAAACTACTCAGTACTGGAAGACATATTATTTTTTTTTTCTTCATGTAAACTCGCCCCCCCTCCCCAAAATTATGGGCGAAAAATTTTTTTTGTACAAGTCATAGCATTGAGGTAACGTAACGGACCAATGAGAAAAGATTTTTTTTCACTTGAGCACAGCAGTATAAACCTGTCAAGTTATGGTGGTTTAATATTTT